AGTCTCATAGAGAGCTTTAATCAAGCACTCAACATTATTGGTGACTATGAAAGTTCTCCTTTGAACCCTAGAGCAGAGCATGAAGGGACTCATGCAGGGTCAAGGGGGGAGGGTGTAACCCACATGGATTTTAGGGCTACAAAACCCATATATGTGGTTTAGAGGTGTAATTGCATGCTGTTCCCACAAGGGGGCGCTTATACACTGATGCACCTGTTGCTTTGAGGTGGCTACGTGACCTCCTTTTTTCACTGCAGCAGCTCTCTCAACACCGCAGATGTACGAGCATGCGGACAACAAATAAGCAATTCCTGGTATGAAACACCGCAAAATAGTCATCAAAGTCAGATTAATGTCCATGTAACAATGCTAATAAGATGCTCTTTCAATAGAAGTCCAACTGTGAGCGAGAGGGAAACAGCTTCTGTCCAGTTATTATTGTTGAGAAACTCCGGTGAGTTGCCACAATGTATGCTAGTTTTTTGTTGTTAGCATTGTGTAAGAAGTTGCATTAAAACTGCAGTTGAGTCAAGATATTTCTCATAAAAACCAACCGGTGATTGTGACATGTGGTTGAATGTTTATTAAATGCTTCGGTGCAACTGTATCATTATATTTATGATCTGAAAAGATCGCTAGCGGCTAAGCAATAACTGCTAACGGATAAGCTAATTGCTAGCTCTGGTTAATGGAGTGACTAACACTGTGTGTAAACTTTAAAGGACAATTACGCTGTTTTCTAACAATACCATCATTAGGCTATGGTTGAATTGGACTGTGTACTCTAATGCTTTGTAATGCCATTTAATGGTAATTTAACTAATTTTGGTTGTTAGAAGTACATGCTAAGAGAATCATAAGGTATAATTTAGTTCATTTTCATGATTGAGTTAACAGTACATTGGAATGGTGCATAAAAATGTAACAGTACAGGAAATAATTTAGTTGAATGTTAAAATAGTAACTTTTTTTGCCGTAAGAAATGCATATTAAGTAATCTGTTACAGTAAGAATATAAATGTTGATGTGGCAGAGGGAAATTCATTGTAAATAATTTATCATTAAGTTAAAAATACAATTCATGGTAAATGGTTCATGTTAAAAATTACTAGTTGTTAAAATAAGGTTATTGTAGTACAAGTATATCCTTAATTGTTGGTTATATGGTGTATGATATTCTATGAGGGAAAAGAATTTAAGGAGATCTCATCTAAGATACATAAAGAGAACCGAATAACTTATTATCCTGCACTATCTGTGTAGGTTGGTTTTTTGTGACCAGATAGAATCAAAGATGGCGAGCCCAGCCCGTGACCCTGTGGACGGTTGGAGAAACGGTGTTGGCCAACCGTAGGAACTGCCCACAGAGGACATCTGATTTAAAGTGATACCCAGTTCAATGGGTTACAGATAAGATACACAAACACTAATTATCCTACCCGGGTAGTAGTAGTAATAGTAGTGAACACTTGGAACAGATACTACACACACAACTTTGAACTGAACTCTTGAGCTCTTTAATCACAAGGAGTACCTGTGGATTAAAGGAACAACAAATAAACTGAAGGACATTTCATTGGAGGTTTTCCACTTCCATAACGGACTATTTCTGTTGATTTCCCTTTTTGATTTATTTATTTTATTTGTTATTTTCCATTCTTTTCAAAAGAATTACAGTGTGTGTATCACTGGGTATACGGTTTGAGGCAATAAATTGTCATTGTTCAACTATACATTAATTCAGTCCCTGAATTATTCAAGACAACTGCTCATCGGACCTAGATAGATGTTAGTGTCTTATTATTACTGTTGATTGACACTGAGGGCGCTACATTGGTTTGGGATGTTTTTTATTTATGCTGTTCTACTCTTTTTATTATGCTCAGGTTATTTCCTTTTATTGGTTTTCCCTTTTTCTTATAAAGCACTTTGTAACTTTACTAAGAAAAGTGGATTATAAATAAAGTTTTTATTATTATTACAGTGATCATACAACATTTGATACGACATCCCAAATAAGATGAGAAGCTATTGAAATTCTGGCTCAGTGTGATCAACAGCCATCCAAGCAAATCATCATATTTGATGAGCTCACCTGTTGAACAGAGCCTCCAGGTGTCGCCTCTGGCTCTGCTCTGCCCTCTGTGCGTCGACCACAGCCGACAGTAAACGCACCGGGCTGTTCGTCTCTGTGGCGGACGGGCTGCAGTCTGAACTGGCTGAAAAGACACCGCCGGACAAACTCGCGGCGAGGAGAACTATCACAGCCAGGGCGGCTCGACTCTTCTCCTCCTTCATCATCTTCTCTGCTGGGAAAACAAATGTTTTTAGAAACAGCAACGAGCTCTGACGTCACCTGACAAGATAGATGATCTATAAAACCAGTTATAGCTCCAACAATTCGTCAAATGATTGATTAGTTGGAAATTAAGGAAGGAATAAAGTCTTTTTTTTGCAAAGATGCGAAATATTTGCTGCCTCCAGTTTCTCTAATGTGAGGATTTGCTGCTTTTCTCCATTTTAGAATGACTATGAACTGGAGCTGGATGATTAATCTAAATTTATTTTGAATTATGGTTTTGTCTTCCAATGATTATGAAAACAAAACAATCGAGATATAACAATTATTGTGCCACATTCGGTTTCACAACAAATTTCATTCCCCTACAAAAACCATCCCCCCATCCACTTCCTGGTTACTTTTTGGCGTATGTTAGCAACATACGCAGGAGTGCTTCATCTTGAGTCGGACCAGCCTTTAATTCCCTTGGACTGAGTTACTGAGTGGAACATGTTGAATATAGTTTATCACAATGTTGAATATATGTTTAGAAGTTTTGAGTATGTTGGTGCAGTGCACTACAACATATCTGATCTCATTTATTTTCATATATGATTTTTATATACTGAATGTTGTAGTTTTCAGTAGGTACACTGTTACAACATAGCTGATCTTTTTTATTCATTTATTTCTATTTATTTTTATAGTATACATTTAATTGATTGAATTAATTTAGATATTATATATTATTTTACTTATTTATCTTTTTTTTTTGTTACGTTTTCCATTGAATTGTTTTTAAAGTTCAATAAACTCATGGTGTTTCCAAAGTCAGTGAGTAATTGTGTTAAATATTCCTGATCTCAATATTGATCAAAATAATCCTTATTAAGATTTTTGCCATAATCGAGCTGAATATCTTTGACTGTTACTCAAGCAAAACAAGCAATGTGATGATGTCACCTGAGGCTTTAGGAAACTTTTGAGAATTACACAACATGTTAGTATCACAGTTTCATGATTCACCAAAACACTGTGGTTGGTAGGTTTTTTTTTTAGGTTTTTCACATCATTTTAAATTTCCTTGGATTTATTTTGAAACAGAACTTATCAGAATATGAATTGGAAACTGATCCAGTCACAGTCACTACCAGACTCTAGACAAATGTTCTAAAGTTTATACTGTCACAAGGATATATGTAGGTAGGTTTACAGCTGTTTGTTCACAGGTATTAAATCTTTTTTTTTTGACTGTCACACTTGTACTTTGTAGAAGCAACGAAAGCCACTGTTTCATAAACTGGAACTATGTACTGTTTTGTGGTTTAGTTTGTCGATGGAGTAGCTGATTAAACAACTCATGATTTCAGCTCTAGCATTTAAACCTCTTAAGATGAGGAAAGCGAAACCTACAGTTGACTAAGTTCAGAGGGGATTTGGTGCCCTATGTCCTGTAAATCATCTTAATAAATCATTTGTAATTTACTACAACACCAGAACATTACCCAGCTAGTGTAAATGAACACATTCTGACCACTTTAGCTCATCATGTTAAATCTTAAATGTTTTGTTTTACTGTTGAACAGTGGCCGAAGTGGCATTTAGGTACTTCTGTGAAATCAAAATTACTACGATGCAAAAATACTCCATTGCAAGTAAAAGTATGGCATTTTATATTAATCATTGAAGTATAAAAGGTAGTCCTCACAGTACAGGCAGAATGGTTATCACAATATTATGCAATTACTGATGTATTAATTGCTGAATTTACTTACTTTTACAAAACTACAGCTGGTGAATAAATGCAGTGGAGTTAAAAGCACTAAATTCCCCTCATTTAATGGAGGACGTGTACATGGGTAATCGCCTTAAGTTTACGTTGACCACATGTCTAACTGTTATTTCAGTTACTTCATTAACCTTATTACACAATAGAAAACACGATTACAGAACATGTTTCAGTTCAGCTACATGACGGAGTAACCTTTTTAACGGATTGTGGTTAAATCCGGATATAGATTACTATAAAACATCACTTCTTCGATGAATAGTTTATGGTTATAATCCCAGTATTGTTTTAAAATTAGACGGATGAAAAAACGATTTAACAGCTGTTTTCATTGTCGGTTCTTAAGCCGAAATGAAAAGTAGCAGCTAAAACATTGGTTCCGTTATTTTTTAGATGGTGTCCGTGCTCTGATACGAAAAGAGACATTAAATTAAACGTTTTATCAAGGGAGTCTGACGTGAAGCCAGATTGGGCAGCGTTAGATAGCTAGCTTTAAACGATAAGCAGCTCATATTTAGTCGTGACAGTAAATGTAGATTCATGGTGTTTAGTATTCAGGAAAAACTTATGATAATTCTAAGTAAGCTCCCTCACCTATTCAATTTCTAACACTGAGTTAGGTGGGTTAGCTTCCCTGCTAGCCGAGTTTGTTTGGTTTAATTTCTCGGAGGATGCTGACAGATGGCATCTGCCGGGCGGCCCAAGCCCGGGCCTCCTCCTGCTGCTGATGAGGCTCGGCCTATCTTTGGCAGCGATATCGAGCAATAAAACCATAAAGTCCAGCTCCCGCGGTACGAGCAGCCACGCGTGTCTGCCTCTGCCCCAAAAAACTCGCACACACCAGAGGTAAACAGTAACACGTTGGGTTTGTGCGCTCTGCACCAGCCCGGTGCCGTGTGCACAAAGACGGTAAACCCGGAAACTGAAATCAGCCGCCGCTGCCGCCGCCGTGCGGAGCGGACATGCTTCCTCCCCGCGCGGTCACAAACTACACCGAAATAAGCGCGTTAACGTGTGGGGACGACTTACGGTGAATTTAAGTGCTGTGTTTGATCTTCTCCGGTTGATGTGTGAGCTCTTTACCCAGGGTACCACTCGGTCCTCTCCTGCCCGGTAAAGAAGGCTGATAGATGTGTTTTGTGTCGCCTTCAGAGGCTGTCGGAAATCTGAGGCACACTCCGGAAGGAGGAGAGCCAACTCCGGGGGGGCTGAGCCAAAATATGTTCCACAGAAAATAGGCTGACAAATACTGAAGAGGATTAGGGCCACACATTTTTTTATTTTTTAGAATTCTTACTTTCTTTCAGAATTTTGATTTAAAGTCAGAATTCAGACTTTCTAAAACACTTTAGGGTCACATGTGGAAAAAGAAAGAAAAAAATCTCTCTCTCTCTCTCTCTCTCTCTCTCTCTCTCCTCTCTAATATATATATATATATATATATATATATTTTTTTTTTTTTTTTTTTTTCTCAGACTTTTTTCTCTGAGAATTCTGAGATAAAAAAAAATTCACATGGCCCTAATCCTGCTCTGTAAACATAAAATATTGATATTAAGTCAGTTAAACAACGTTAAAAAATGTTAAAAATGATATGAAAATACATAGAAAACAACAACAAAGGAAAGAAGATGAAAATTTCTGATCTGTGTAATGAAAATCTGATTTGACCAGTGGTGGATCGTAGCAAGTACTACACTTAAATAGTAGTTAACCATAGTTGCCATTTTTAAGTTGGAACAACTTCATTATATGAAGTAAACACGACTCAATTTTAAGTAAACCTAACAAGGGCATATAAAGTTGACATAACTTAAAACTAATTGTTATACAATAGTTTAGCTTGCTTTTTCAAGGCAATCGGTTTCCTAGATTTCTACTAAGTAAGGTTGATCTTTTATATTGCTAGCAACACAAATGTCAAAATTGTAAAACTTTTTGCTTTCAGGCTTTTTGAGGGCCCGCCCCAGGCTGGTCCCTGGACACTTGTTCCACTGGAACCATCACATGTGCAAATGCGACCTCAGAATCTCTGCATCGCTAACACCGCTAGTGAAGTATTTCCCAAGGATCCCTTGAATGCACCTCAGGAGGACTTGAAGCAGATGCTGTGAAGGAGGATGGCAGGTCAGAACATGTGACAGGGCTTTGGTAGCATGTGACGGTCCCACCAGTGTCTAGGTCTGAGGGTGGTGGGAGAGAGGATTAGTTAGAAAAAGATCTGGAAACTCTCAACAGGAAGAAAGATCTTTGACAAGTCATTCCCTCAGATTAGTGAATGTGCCCTGACATGGTATGAACTTAGTGTTTCATCACCTACCATTAAACTTTGTCATTTCATTCCATGCTCTCATGTTCACTGACACTGACAAAAACAAAGGTCTCACTGACCTTTGACTGTGATTTCCAAACTGTAAAAACTATAAGAACCAAGCTTCTGAATACATTTGGGACAAGAAATGTTCTTGTAAATAGGATTTCTCTTTACAGTACGTTTAATTTTAGAGAGTAAAAACACTTTTACTCCCATCCCATCTGAAACAACATATCATCAGAATTTCATGTCCTGCACTGAGATATCTGTGTGTATGTCAGCTGTGAAACGTCCCAGACACAGTGGAGATATCACCCCACAGAGCAGCAGAGAGCCAAGACCAAACCCACCTACAGAACAAATAGTGCCAAGTTACTCTGCTCACATCTGTTTGTTTTCTTTTCTGTTTCAAAACCAACAGGGACGAAGTGAAACAATACAACCAAAGTCAGTTCAGCCTCTTTAACAGTGGCTCTAAAATCCAAGAACATGACAGAAGTGTTGGTACTATTAGTTTGTGTTTAGATTGTTGTTTAGGTTCTTGATCCTCTTTGTTTATAATGTTTACCTGGATTTGGGTTCACACACACACACACACACACACACACACACACACACACACACACACACACACACACACACACACACACACACACACACACAAAGATGATGCAAGATAAAACATTTACTACAATAAAACAATAAAATGATGAATAAAAGTCAATAAAATAAAATAAACATCAGGGAGAAACAATGAAAAATGTTAAGTACATTACTCTAAATTAGCATTGAAGGCTAAACCAAATTAAAAAGCCACACTTTAATTACTTTTGATATAATATCATGAGAGCTTTTCATTGTAGTAATAATAACTAGAAAATTCCAGGGAAATTTTGAGTGCCACGGGGGCTACTGCCGGGATGAGTACATGATTTATTTCCAGTGTTCAAAAGTCACCCTGATCATATTCTGGTTTTGAGAAATGTCTTGATATAAAAGACTCTGATATAAAACAATGTCACATCCCTCCATCATGTATTATGTGGGAAATATCTCATATTCTGTGTTGTTTTTTTTAATAAAACAAGAGGCAACATGTCTTCAAACTGGCATTTAAAGGGTTAAAATCCTGAAAACTAATAAACATTTGGTAGGTTTGAGCAGAACTGAAGTGGTTTAAGAGATGTATGCAAAAAAAAGCAGAAATATTGATATATGATGATTTTATAGCATCTTTGTGTCCTTTTTTGGACGTGAGGAACCCCAGAGGGTACAAAATGTGTTACCAGTGTATAATAGACCTTTAACAGTAACTGACATTAGATTTTAAAAAATATGTCAAAAAAGACACTTTCTTGCAGAAATCCATACCTTCAGCTGTAACACAGCCAAAATGATCAGCAAATCAAAAAAGAAAAGTGAAGAAAATGTCCAAAAAAGGACGGAGGGACCCCTGAGGGTTAATAAATCCCATGAACCGCTATTTAAATTACCACTATTGTGTTTTTCTCAGTGCTAAATTTAACATTACTGGGGAGGAGAGCAACGCGACTAGAAGTGACAGCGAGAGAGGGCTAGTAGCTTCTCCTCTGTCTCAGCGGAGACCGTCACAACTTCATTCACTCTTTTAACAAACAAAAAGAAAGCAACAAAGGAAGCAGTAAATGGACTTACATATTTAAGACCTAACTAAATGTAATTTAAGACCTAACATGCGGCTAATGTAAAGCTAGTGGAGCTTGGGAGAGTTGGTTATCTGGTTGCTAGGCGCACGCACGACGCACACAGGTCAGGAGCTGCCGTTGCCATGGCAATGTGAAAATCTGCCCAGAATTTGGCTTCAACATGAGAAAAGCATTATTTCTTTTCAAAAACCGAAAACACCCGTGACAGACACTGAAGCCAGAAGTTTCTTACCAGTCTCTATTTTATTCAGATATTCCTTAAAATGAGTGAGTAAGCTCAGTGCGAAGACAGAGTGAGATTCTTTTGAAAAAAAAGACGATTACATTAGGTGTCAATGAGAGTGAGACAGGTATTGCGGCGGACTCAGCACCCCGTTTAAATTTTGTGCAGACCCTGCCTGTCAAAGTTACATTTTATGAATCCAACAACTATGTCTACATTGAGAAATAATTATTTGTCTCCTTTTTATGGTTTGGCCGTGAACTCGAGTTAAAAATAAAAATAAAGGTTATTTTTTACTGCTTCACGCACTCTAGCCAACTGACGCTGTCACTCTAACTTTGAAGAAAAAGTGATTTCCCACTCCTCCTTTGAGTGCTCATAGTTTGAAAGTTTACATGTTATGTAAAAACAGTTGCTGTGTTTTGGAGAGAGCAGAAGTTTTCCTCTGTTTTATAGTTTGAATCACATTTCTACGTGCAGGTATGAGAGAGCTGGGTGACTCAGAAAAAAGGTGAAATTTTGTAGAAAAAAGGTGAAATTTTTGTGGGTTTTTAAAAGAAAATTCCAATGCATTCCTAATGCATTATTATTCCAGTATTTTGGGAATAACTTTGGGAAAAATTGGAATTTTAACACCAAAGTCATAGCACCTCTTTTGGGATCAAGACACACGTTTTGATGTATAAATTACCGGGGTTTTCTCAAAGCTGCGGGACGAGTTACGTGCCAAAATTTGGCGGAAGAAAAATAATAAGCTCGAAGGAATATTAATAGATGCCTCGGAGCTGAGCACTCATGGCACTAATGATAAATCATTGAAAAATATTCAGATCTAATATCCAGAGGAGGCATGTCCCAGAGTTCAGGGGCATAAAAACAAAAAGCGGCCTCACGGGTGTCTTTATGGGACACATAAGGAAATATTTAGGACCTTAGTGATCTGACAGGAACATAAAAGCTCACTGGTCTTGTGTAAAACACCTCACAAAATCCACTTTAAAAGAAAGATTCAAACAGCTGCTCACTGTAGTTTTTAATCAAACAAACAAGAGGAAATATATGAAGCATTTGTTGGGGACCACTTCAGTGGTGGAGAATCCACATTTTGGACATTTTTACGAAGAAAAATATGAGAAATCACCAGACTGATCCTTTTAATCCATGTGTGATGTAAGAAAAAAAACAACAACTTACAACTAAGCTGCTCCTGGATCAGACTTACAGAGTCTGATGTGGGTAGAAGCCGCCCTCCCTCCCTCCCTTTTTCTCACCCTCTAATGTTTAAACGAAACTGAAGATGCTCTCACCCAGCCCACAGAGAACAATATTGGTTTTGGACTCGTCGGTAGCTGCTTGCTGGGTGGGGTGTGTTCCTTCACTGAGGACTGGATCCCCTTCACACACATCTGATCTGAATTTAAACTGTGTGAACCTTC